TCAAATGTCTTCTGCTTAGAATAATCCTTAGACTACTGTGGCATATTCAATTTTTTTTTTTTTTTTCAGTTGGAGTCTCACTCTGTCGCCCAGACTGGAGTGCAGTGGCCACTCCCAGCCACCGCAGCCTCGCCTGCTGGGCTCCGACGATCCTTCTGCCTCAGCCTCTGAGTAGCTGGAACTACAGGTGCGCGCTACCACGCCCGGCTAATTTTTTTTTTTTTTTTTTGATTTATTGTAGTGATGAGGTCTTGCTGCCCAGGCGGGTCTCGAACCCACGGGCTCAGGCAATCCACTCACCTCAGCCTCCCAAAGGCACGGGATTACAGGCTGAGCCACCGAGCCCGGCTCTGTGGCATATTCTGAACCGCTTCAAATGAATAGATGAATGAATGAACAAATGAAACCACAAGTTGACCTTCAGTCCACACCTCCATTAGAGAGCAGGGCTGAGCAGCACAGACAAACTGATGACCCTCACAATCTCCCTCCCCACAGTGCCCTAGTGCAGAATTGTTATCACCTTTTGCACAAATCTGGAGACTTCAACCCCAATAATAGGAAGAGGGGAACCACAGGATGAAGTCTCTAAGCTAAGAGCCTTGAGTAGTAAGGAGAAGAAAAAGGGGGAGAGGAGAAAATGTAGTCAGGTGGATAGATACCTCCTAGAAGCCAATATAGACTACCAGAAGCCGGACTCGGTGGCTCAGCCTGTAATCCCGTGCCTTTGGGAGGCTGAGGTGAGTGGATTGCCTGAGCCCATGGGTTCGAGACCCACCTGGGCAGCGAGACTTCATCTCTACAATAAATCAAAAAATCAGCCAGGCGTGGTAGCGCGTGCCTGTAACTCCGGCTACTTGGAAGGCTGAGGCGGAAGGATCGCCGGAGCCCAGCAGGCGAGGCTGCGGTGGCCGGGAGCGGCCACTGCACTCCAATGTGGGCGACAGAGTGAGACTCCAACTCATAAATAAATAAATAAATAAATAAATAAATAAATAAATAAATAAATAAATAAAAATAAAGACTACCAGAAAGGGGTGAGGCCTAGAGCCTTGCGGTAAGCCACTGTCCCTGCATGACTAGGGATACACATGGGGTTTAATGACTCAAGAGGGAGATCAAGTGTGTACCTTGAGCACCAGCAAAGCAGTGGTACTAAAGAGAGAGCGGTTAGGCCGCAGTGGCCATGCCTGTAATCTCAGCACTTTGAGAGGCCCAGGCAGGAGGATCACTTGAGGCCAGGAGTTTGAGACTAGCCTGGCAACATAGTCAGGCCCTATCTCAACAAAAAAGAAACAAAATATATTTTTTTTCAATGTTAAAGAGAATATCAAAATTAGAGTTAATTGTGAAAATTAAATTATTCCCTTTTTTTTTAGTAGGAGTCTCACTCTCTTACCCAGGCCGGAGTGCAGTGGCATACTCATGGCCACCACAGCTTCAACCTGCTGAGCTCAGGTGATCCTTCCACTTCAGCCTTCCAAGTAACTGGAACTGCAGGTGCATGACACTATGTTCAGCTAATGTTCTGAATTATTGTAAAGCTGAGGTCTTGTCAAGTTGCCCAGGCTGGTCTCAAACCCCTGGACTCAGGCAATCCTCTTGCCTCAGTCTCCCAAAGTGCTGGGATTACAGGTGTGAGCCATCATGTCTGGCTAAATTATTCTTATTGTTTAAACTATCTTTTCCTAGGTTTATGACTGAGACCCTCATAACAAAAGACAGATTAACCATAGAAAATAATACAGATTTATTCAATAAGTTTTACATGACACAAGAGCCTTTATCAGGAATTGAAGACCCTAAGAAACAGTTAAACCTGGGTATTTTTATTCCACGTTTGATGAAGAGTGGACAGTGGTAAAGAAACATGAGTAGGAAAAAAGGGTGTGATTTAATTGTAATAAGCTGTAAGGTACTTAACGAGCCCTGTTTGTTCAGATTTTTCTCTGTGTCCTGTGTCTTCAGAGATGATGACGTTCCCTTCCTTCAGGCATAGGGTGGGCACATCTTGTATGAGGGTCTTATGACCTGCTTCAGAGGAGAAGGGCAGGGAAAGGTCAGAGAGACTTTCCTCCTCCTGCCGTTTTCTCAAATTTCTTCAGTTTAAAATATACAGTGTGCCAAGATGCTATATTTGAGGCTGGTGTACCCTAAGCCCCATCAATTGCTTTATGCTGTTTTTATATACAGATGGTGGCCCAAAACGTATAGACATTTTTTTTTTTTTTGAGTTGGAGTCTCACTCTGTCGCCCAGACTGGAGTGCAGT